AATTGACGTTTTATACCGTTTTTTCAATCTCACGGCTTTGTTATTGCAAATTTCGTAATCGGACCACCGCCATTTTGTAGCTGTTTTTATTACGAACAAAATCATGTCCTAAGCATTTTTTCGTACAAAGTCATCCCGCTGAGTTATTTAAAGAAAACTACTAAAAAAAATTTTTCACGATTAAATTGTTAATAACTTTTTTCCTGATAAAATACTTTGTCAGCAAGATAGCCTCTTATTGTACTCATCATTTAAAGTAGGTCTGTGTAGTTATTTCTGGGTTATCAAGGTTTGACACAGGCTGAACCTCTACCAACTGGACTACTAGTGGGACAGACTGGACATTATGTGAAAAATGTTAAAGATTATAATCAACAATATGAAAAGAATTCCACTAGATGACATCCTAGTGAGCTTCAACTTTACGGAACGATCATCGCAGAAGATAAGGAAGAGAATCTCATACACTCGACAAAAGTTCACTTTCTTCTTTAGGGATTAGTTTTATGAACCAACAACGAACCCAACTTACAGTCTTAGTTTTAGTAAATAATATATATATATGGAATCCTTCGAAAAGAGGAGTCGGCAACTCTCATATATATATATATATATATGGAATCCTTCGAAAAGAGGAGTCGGCAACTCTCAAGCTAATTATAAGGTAAGTCAAGTAAGTAAATGGATTATTGAACGGAGACGACAATAAGGGAAATAGTTTATAAATTCCTCTTCGAAGAGAAACCAGCAGTTGCATAGCACAGGACAGATACAAGGTACTTAAATTGACCTAGATAATAAGTACAAGGATTCTGGTGAGAATTCTAAAGTAAGACCAATAGAAATCCAGAAAAATTTAAACATTTTGAGCCGAGACGAAGGCCTAGAGCTACTAGGAATTTGAATACGATTCGTACATAGAAATTATGGACCGAGACGTTACAAGTCAGTAACTTTAATCTATGCACCGGAACGACATGGGCTAGGGCACATATAAATACTGGCTAAAAGACTTAACTTCAAGTTTCAAAGATTTTTTCTTATCAAGAAAGCGATATGTCCGGTGAAATGATAAGGAGCCTAAACGGACGACATGGAACAGCGACAGTTGTTAGAAGCTCGATTCAGCCAGACTCACACTGTATCGGTCCGTAAGAACCAGCCCCGATATTGTACACCAATTCTGTATCTTTCTTATATAGAGTTTAGGAATAGGTCCCATTAGTTTCGGTACATTATGTATATAGAGAATTAGCTATTTTTATATTTACTGGAAGATTCATTGTTTCTTATTTGATCCTTGTTTTATATTTAAAATGGCAAAGGGAATTTATCTTTAGATTGTTCTATATCTATGTTTACAAGTACAACAGAAACTTATGCAACTTCTAGACCCAAAAGCTTTGAAGCATTCATTGTTTAAGAGTATGTTTTATGCACAATTCTGTAGATAATGTTCTGTAAAAAGTAATACTCTACTTCACTGGATACAAGTGCAGATGCTAAAATGAATCTCTCTCATCCTCTCACATCCATGCTAAAATTGGATAAGACATTCCATTCACCTAATCAGGAGATGAAGAAGTAATAGATAACAGTCGTAGGTATAATGCATTCATTGATCCACCATAAGTGTTATCCCTGTTTCCTCTGTTAAATAATTAACAATTATATAATCGAGACTAAGATATATGGCCAAAAGAGTAATGTGATTTGATTTACTAAAAACAACTAATAATCTGCTCCTTCTTCGATAGTACGGCTGTTCAAACATCCAAAAATGTACAAGTTTAATTAAAAAAACCCATTGTAGGACTATATTTTGTAACCCAAGGTCAATTGTCTTTATAATTAGTATTAGAAAATTTAAAAAATATGATGCAACTTTTAACCACATACTTTTTTCCTACTGAGAAAATAGGTAGTAGATCTGCCATTAATTCCTTCGATATTCCTCTATCTAGGGCTTCTTGCCGCTAATTCTGGACTTTATCTTTCACNAAGCTCGATTCAGCCAGACTCACACTGTATCGGTCCGTAAGAACCAGCCCCGATATTGTACACCAATTCTGTATCTTTCTTATATAGAGTTTAGGAATAGGTCCCATTAGTTTCGGTACATTATGTATATAGAGAATTAGCTATTTTTATATTTACTGGAAGATTCATTGTTTCTTATTTGATCCTTGTTTTATATTTAAAATGGCAAAGGGAATTTATCTTTAGATTGTTCTATATCTATGTTTACAAGTACAACAGAAACTTATGCAACTTCTAGACCCAAAAGCTTTGAAGCATTCATTGTTTAAGAGTATGTTTTATGCACAATTCTGTAGATAATGTTCTGTAAAAAGTAATACTCTACTTCACTGGATACAAGTGCAGATGCTAAAATGAATCTCTCTCATCCTCTCACATCCATGCTAAAATTGGATAAGACATTCCATTCACCTAATCAGGAGATGAAGAAGTAATAGATAACAGTCATAGATCCACCATAAGTGTCATCCCTGTTTCCTCTGTTAAATAATTAACAATTATATAATCGAGACTAAGATATATGGCCAAAAGAGTAATGTGATTTGATTTACTAAAAACAACTAATAATCTGCTCCTTCTTCGATAGTACGGCTGTTCAAACATCCAAAAATGTACAAGTTTAATTAAAAAAACCCATTGTAGGACTATATTTTGTAACC